TTTATAATATATTATATATTATATATTATATACTATATGTTATTTTTTATGCTTTTTATATATTATGCTGTGTATTAATGAATATATATATATGTTTATATATTATATATTATATATATCTAGGGCATGAAAAAGGAGAGGAACAAGAGATATAGAGATTTGTCATGAAAATATAGAGAAAATAAGGGTTTCCTAGGACATAGAGGGAAAATAGAGGTTTCCCCATGGAAATGCGCAGATCCCCCCCCCACACAGAGCCAACAAAAAAAAACAACAAACAATAAGCCAAAACAACAAAAAAAGGCCAAAAAAAATCCTCCACCCTTCTGGTTCGATGGTTACTTATTTACATCTGCAAGTACAGCCGGTGGAACCGGGCGTTTGTCTTGGCAGCTGGAACCGAGGAAGTTCAACATGGTTCTGTCGGAATGGGGGGATGACAGCGAGTACAGCACACATTTTGAGAAACTGCTCGATGAGATGAAGTCTTGGTTTGAGATAAATAAACCCGATTGAGCGCTTCTTGGCTGCAGCGAACAGAGGTGAACTACTGTACCAGTGTGAATGGGCCCACAGAGCTGCAGATCCATCTTCGTCAGGGATTGCACGGTTTCGCGAGAAGGGAGTAAACCCTTCGGTGTCACGACCGTGTACATACGAATGTGGCAGCCAGAGAAACGAAGCCTGTGTTCCCAACCTTTTATCATCACCTAAGATCTTCAACCAGCCAAGCCGTGTAGCGGCGATCCACGCTAGAGGTCACAGACTGCTTTAGGTAGTTCTAGTTGCGCTCGCCCCTGCTCCGAAGCTTAAAGCTTCCTGGAGAAATGTGGGCAGAGAGCCGGCCTCAACCGTGCAAACAGCGACAAAATAGGAGCGACCAGAGCCTTAGCAGAGCCGACACTTGTTGTGTTGGGATGTTTTGTGTGCGAATCATGGAAGTTGTCCACCCCGAGAGCTGAAACAGCTCAATGAAAAGCCGGTGAAGCACCGGGCATTTCGGAGTCGCTTAGCGGCAGCTAGACGATTTGGTGCCGTCGGTGCAGAGATACCCCTCAAAAATCCAAGCGCCCGGGACACATTGTCTTCAACAAGAACAGAACGACATACCCTCGCAGCATGCTTCACGATTCAATTTCGTGCTCGAGCTTTGATGAAGACTTTGCCCAGGCCTCGGGCATGCAAACAGAGCTGCTGGCCCAGCTTGGTCGCTCGCAAGACAGTGCCGTTTTCGTCATGGGTGGATTGCGGGTCTCAGTTCTGACGCCGGGTTTCTTCTTTGCAACCGTTACAGGCTGCAGAGTACACGCCCTGAGCAATGCCAGAGGAGACGCGAAGATGATCCTAGGTCCCAGATTCTTACAGTTGTTCTGCTCGGATTTTTGTTGCTCTTAAGAAGCGCGGGTGTTGAGATTCACGCAGGAGGTTGAGCTCAAGTTGGTGTTTGCGAACGCCTGGCCCATAATGAGACTGTCCCCTCACCATGGTTCGTGCTTCCGGAATGCTTGCCAAGGACCACAACTCGGCCACTTTTGCTGTGGCGCTGAATACAAGTGTCGGGACCTCAATCTGCTGATTCACTTGACATGCGTGTGTGAAGCTGACTCCGCCACAGCTTGCGGTCTTGTGAACTCGATACGGCAAGTAAGATTCTCGATTGAGCCTGTTATGAACCGGGGGAATTTGCTTGCTTGAACAACTCAGTATTTCTGTCGGCATCAGGTCAGGGAGGTGAAGCGGCTGATCCTACAGAGGCTTCCTTTCTTCCCACCCTCAGATCTTGGCATTTTGGTTTGAAGTGTTCATCTGCTTCAGGCACTGGCCATCAAGCCCCAACTTGATTCCAGCCACGCAAGTCGACAGGACGTCATGAGCTCCAAAGCCACCGGTGTGGAGACTGCTTCGCTTTTGCAGGATTCGGCTTTTTGCAGCAGGCCGATTGGTTCCAAAGCCAACTGCAGATGCTAATCATTGTCAAAGCTGCATCTGCAAGTTTGCGGCATGTCCTGGATTGGCCAGGCAAGGAGCTCGGGGGCAAAGGCACAGACGACGTTAAGAGCTTGAAGGATGCCAATATTTTGTTGAGCGCATAACCCAGCTATGCTTGTTTCTGATACTGCTCTCGCCGTCGCTGACTGCTGCAAGCCAACTTGAAAGTAGAACCAGGCAAGAACGGCCCAACCCCCGTCCATGTTATGGCCGCACCCTGCTCAGAGCGAATACATGTTGCAGTCTGGGACATGGCAGGCTACGCCGAATGCTGAGGTCCAGAAGGACATCACAGCGGAGAAGTCCGCAACTACCACCGAAAATTCGTCCAAGTCTACAACGCAGCACAGGGCCAAGGCTGCACAAACCGTGCTTGCTGGCACAGGCAAGGTGAATCTCGAGCGTTGAGGTCAGAGGGAATGCTTGCTTGACTAGCGGGGTAAAGCTCACTCAAGGTGCTATTGTACGCTTCTTTGATGAGTCCTGCGCGGAAGTGCTGGGATGGGTTTGTGGGTCCGGGCCTTAATTGTCGTAACGTCGGCAAGCACATGAGCTGTGGCCCTTGTTCTTTGCCCCGTTGCACGACGGCAAACTTGAGACTCCTCAGGCCAGCGAAAGGGTTACACTGTCTTGGGATTCCACAAGATTCGGAGTTTTGCGAGCAGGTTGTTTTGTAGGTTCCGGGGCCCTGCGACAAGTCGTGGAGCAGTTACCGGCAATCTTTGTACGCATGTTTTTCCTGGCCGTGCTGAATCCTGAGGTTTGCTCGTCTAGTGATGTCTCTGCGAGTCACTTGCAAGTCCCACGATCGAGCTGTCCGAATCGGAACCCATGGCTGGCTGATGCAAAGAACACAGAACGTACCGAACTACACCTCAGAGAAAATATATCATCGGCGTGCCAATTTCAACTGAGGGGTCTGACGGATTCGCCAGTGAGAGCTGCCTGCCAAGCTACAGCTTCAGGTCGTTGGAGAAGCTGAGCTACTGCGACAGCTGATGGCGACGACATGCTTCCAAGAGATGAAGCAGCTTGCCCTGGAATTTTGCTGCAAAGGGAAAACCCGGCAAGCATAGGGTCAGAGGGCAGCCAGAACGTTGTTGAGTCTTTGTGGAGAGACACAGCTCTGGCCAACTCACCTGTACGCTAGGTTTTCTTACCGGTATTTTAGTTTTCGATACCAGCACATTTCCAGCGGGCCATGCCGAACATCGGCAGCTTTACCTGTGTGCGCTTGCATGTACCAGTTCCACTGCACTGCACAGGAAAGCCCAAATGTCGGAGTCCTGCAAAGGTCGAACTGCAAGTGCATCTTCCCACCTCGTGTTGGGAGTAGAGGGGTTGAGATAGATACGGAGCTCTTTGGCAAGGTCCCCTTTCGCGATTGAAAGTGCAGAGTTCCGTGCTGCATGGTGGTAAGTTAAAAACCGCGTGGTGTTCACAGCAGTCTTCACACTTCGACTCCGAGCTTCTTGCTAAGAATCTGCTGTGCGGCACAGTCAACGCAAGAGTTCTGTACAGACCTCGCACCTAACCTGTGCACTACTAGGCTTGGAAAGAGATAGCTGTCACTAGGCATGCTACACAGGCAGAGGTCTTGTGCATTTTCTTCAGCTCTAGACTCTAGAGAGCGTGCGCATGTCTCATGCAGAGTCGCTCAAACGGGCGACCGCATGCAGAAGCTACATCAAAGAAACAAGCCCTGCGTCTGAAAAGGTTGGTCAACCGGTTCTGCCATAGCAACATGCGGGGACTAGCGACTTCTGCAAGTGAATGCAGGGCCTTCCTTTGCAGCATCCAGTCAGAGCAAGGCATGGCAGACTTCAGTCGAAATAAAAGGTACACACAACTCAGTGAGAGTGAGAGCGCGATCATTCGTTGCCGGCGTGTCCGTGCTCCCTAGACGGCAGACCGACAGCTGCACCGATGGTGTTGTCGCGGCCAAGAAGCCGCATCGGCAAATATCGGCAGTGCGGCGTCCCATGGCAAGGGCAAAAGCTCAGCCACGCCGATTGCAACTCCTCCTCATCAGATTTGCTGGCTTCCTCGCTCTGGTGCTTATGGTACTGGTGACCTGTAGTCGCACGGTCGGTGTCTCGGTATAGCTGAGATAATGCGGGTGTCTGCCCGCTTTTTTGGTCACAGTCGCGATGTTTCAACAATGAGGTCGGCATGCTGGATCGAAGCTCACTTCAACTCCCATCCAATATCGCGGAACCCGCTATGCGTTCTGAAGCTGCCAAGCTGCCCGAAAGCAGTGCCAACCAGAGCCATTCAGCAAAAGATGCCGGCCTGGGACTGGGTTCGGGTGCATGGATGCCTCCACTGACATCGTCACCTTTCGCGGCTGCGACTTTCCCAGAAGAGGAGCCCGACACGTCTTTGTGGCAGGTGGCAAGCGCAGCCCCGACTGCGAGTGCTGAACCGATCAAGGTTGGCGATACGAGCACCTTTGACCGCATCTCGGCCCAACAACGGGGAACAGCCGTGTAGTCTTGCCACAATCGTGTTGTCCCTGTGTGTTCCATCTAGGTCCGATGCACGGAGCGTGCATGAGTGACCCCCAAGAGAACAGCCGAGGAGTCCATATCTGCTTCTGCAGCGATGATGCTGACTTGCGGCCGTTGGCAGTGGCGATTAATTCGACGATGCACCACGCCAGCCGACCCATGGCTTCGTTGAGATGCAGCGCGGGACTCTCCAGCTAGCCTTTGAACGCATAGGGCATAGGAATTATGGCAACGCGTTAATGAAGTTTGACTTGGACAGAGGTGCATCGTCTTTTCAACGTATGCCTGATGACTACGGGATATGCATTCAATCTGATGTGATCCCTGAAACCTGATATCTGCACGTACCGGACTCCTTCTTTTGCCTTCGGGTCCAGAGATGAGCACAGGCTTGGAAGTGCAGGCATAGCTGCAGAGCCTTCCTTCAAAAGCAAGGCTTCGGACATACACTTATGGGACAAGTACACATTGACCAGTGCCTCTGGTTGTGGGACTTGGTTGCCTGGAAAGCTGAAGACTGTACAGTGCACGAAGCAGTGAAAAAGACGAAAAACGAACAGTTCAAATCTGTAAAACCGATGCCTTCTTTCAACGTTCTCACGAAAGTTGGGTTTTGGAGGTGCAGAAAACTGTGGCAGTCAAGAAGACCGACCGCGCAGAAGAGGTGGGGTGTAAAGACAGAAGCTGTTATTCCAGCATCGGGGTAGACGGGTGTGAACGCGCGGCTCAAATGCAGTGGAACAGGCCGTACCGTGCTCTTGGCTACTCATACTCTGCTTGGTTTAGGTTCCGGAACTCAAACCTGACAGAGAGCTGTGCGCCCTTCCCAGCCCCAAGGATCTGAGCAGCTCCTTTTTCATGTGGTGACGGCGGAAGACAAGGTTTCGGCCGTTGCTCAGAAGCTGAAGGAAATTATGCCGCCGTTGCAAGCACAGCTGGTGATGCACAGCAACGCAACTTTGCAAGCACACATCAAGAGCCTCTTGACTTGATGATTTGGCAGTTGATTACATACCTGGCAAGCCTCCTCCTATCCCAGCATTTGCTGTCAGTCAGAGTCGTTTCTGCCGAGGCTTGATCAGCTATCGCAAAAGCTCGGGGGCCAGAAAAGGCTTGGCAAGCCCCTTCAACTTTGCCCCCTTCTATTTGGAGGACGGCTGCCGCATCAGAAACAAAGCATGAAACGCCTGAAGCAGAATGATTCACACAGAAGAAACAGGAGTTTCTGGCTGCAAAGGGGTCCGAAATGCCAAGCAGGCAGGCCTTGCTGACATCATGTGACACGAAGCCCAAACTCTTCCTGCATGCGCATGATCGGAGGCTGGTGTACATGGATTCGGACGTTGTCCTACAAGGTGATGTGGCCTTGCTCGCAAAGCTCGACATGGAAGGCCATCCAGTGGCAGCGGTGGAGGACTGCTCGCAGCACTTTGCTTCCCGGCTGCAAGACGTCGCGCAATGTTGAGGGGTTGCTGGCTCTGTGATTTCCTTGAGGGGACATCGAACTCAGGATTTGTACATAGACTTTGAAGACTCTTGGCTGCCAAGTTACCTATGACCAGGAGCTAGGTCAGCCTGGCTGTGCTCTTGTTAGGTCCGCACTTTGGAATCGGTTTTTGGTGGCCCAGGAGTTGTCGACCCTTGGCCTCAAGCGCCCCGGTGATGTTCTCAGATTTGGGCTGCGGATGTTTTGGCGGGAGAGCTTGCTGATGCTTCCTGTCGGCCCCAGAGGCTTGGAACCGGCGGAGTGCGTCTTCAACCGCGGTGTGTTCGTAATGGACGTCCGAAGGTGGAAGAAGCTGCAAATCACCCGGGAGATTGAGCGCTGGATGGCGCGATACCGCGAATCGAAGAAAGACCCCGGGTGGCGAAGGAATTTGTTTTGGACGATACATTCGCGGAATGAGCTAGACCATTGGAAAGCGACAGCTCAAGAAAGTTATCTCCGGGCATCGGGCATTCCCGTTACTCGACTTGTGTCCTTCAGGACTTATACAAGTTCGGGCTCTCTCAGCCTCCGTGGCTTCTTGCTCTGCACGACAGATACAGCCATCTCAGCCGTGGTCTTGGATGAGAGGACTGGAAGTTTTTGAGGCTGTACAATCTCACATGCTCAGGCGAGACCTGGAACTGTCGCGGTCTTGGCCGCGAAACATTGTCTCAGAAGGAGACACAATCATTCTCCGTGCAGACTTCTCTAGCAGACAGAGCAGACAGTGACAAACTAAACCTTGGCCTCTTCAAGTCTCAGGAGCTCAAGGAGTTGAAGGCTGACTTGAAGATGGATTTCAAGGCGCTGCAGAAGGCCGGAGTCCTGGGGGTCGTGACAGTCGTGACGTGCAGCACGGGAAACAATCCCGAGGCTGGATTGCGCCCTTCAGGGGATCAGGTGCGGCCTTACCTTGCGCTGGGTACCCAAAGTTTCGTGGGGATGCGCTTTGCCAGAATGTATGTTGCTCAGTGGAGTGGGTCCATCGCATCTTGCAGCTCTAAGGTCATGCTCAGCAGATGCCAAGCTGCTGCATTTCAACGGAAAGTTAAAACCGTGGCAGGCTGACAAATGGGCACAGAGCTCAGCAGTCGTCAGCGGTGAAACAAGCTGCTCGCTGCCTGCAGCAGAACTGAACAAGCTGAGCTCAGCGCACTGCCCGGCGAGGCTTCCGGGCAACGTGCTCCAATCTGCTTGGCGCATAGCAGCGCTTTACGCCAGCTGCAGCGGAAGGAGGTTGCTGGCAAGACTTTTGTGCGCTGTGCCGATTTGTGGCCAGAGTCCTGGGCTACTCTTCCTCTGCCAGAAGAGAGAATTCTAGATACGGAAGCACTCAGAGTCCGTGTGCCCTGCTTTAACAAGGTCCTACTTCTTGTCGCCTCAAGCCGAGAGCCTCCTCCTCGCCGGTCGTGCGAGTACCTGATCGAGCAAATCAGCCGCTTCCAGGATGAACGCCAGACTGAGATGTGGGAGGCTGAACATGCAGACATCTGCAAAGACAGCTCGCTCGGCATCGCGAAGCACCGTACCCAATCGGTCGGCGTGTGTCCAGCTTGGTCAACACGTCTCCACAACTGACTCCATGACGCTCAGGGCGCATTTCCGATCTCTGCTTCTGGATGGTTGACGATTCTGGTTTCAGCGCCGTTGAGCTCCAGAGGTGTCCAGACATGGATGCACAAGAGACCGGAATGCCGCGAAAACAGCCAGCGCTCCTGTGTGATGTTTGTGATGCGGCGGTCTAAGTGAGACACAACTTGCAGCACACAGGCTTTGACCACCCTTGCCCCACATGTGGGCCAGCCAGCATTGGCCATGTCATGTCCAGCGGATTTTGCCTTTCAGAAAACACCCCAGAGTTGCTGTCACATAGTACTGCAGGCAAGGCAGTAGGCCCTCGCATCTCTTGACTTGATAACCGCTAAATCCTGAATCGCCCTACGCCACAAACACATGCATGCCTTTGGATACATGGGTCTCTGGAGGCCCTCTTCGGACCGAGCGAGCAAACTGTGATACAGAAAGGTAGTGGGGACTCTTTCGTTTTGCAGTGGGTAAGAGGTTCTGGACTTTCCCGCTGGCGTGTGCTGCAACCAGGTGAGCAGGCTCCCGACTTGGCCGCCCTGCCCTTATCTGACTAGTGGCGAACGAAACTCAGAGAGAAGCAAGGTTACCTTTGCTTCCCGCACACCTCCAGCTTCGCGATGGAATGACGAACTCGTGCTGCTGGCGAGGAGAACAGTGGCTGCTTGCAAAGACTTTGTCGTTCGACAGCCGCATGCTGATGGCAAAGCCTGCCAATTCACGAGGGAGCTACAGCTTGTCATGGTTTTGCAAGATTGAGTACTGAGCCGTGCACGAGCCAAGGCTAATGTGATTGGTCGGGTGTCTCGGAACCTAGAGGCACGGGTCAGCTGGGACATGCTTGGCTTCTGAGATTGCTCTTCAGCTGCACACAAAAAAGGCGCAAGTGCCAACTGGTATTGCTCCAGACGCGCTCAGCAGCAACTTGGCAAACATGCACAGCGAACGTGGAGTTGCTTCCACACGAATCTGCACCGAAGGGTGACGGCGCGAAGCTAATTACTCAGTAGCTCGCCAAGTGCCACAGCAGTTTACGAAGGTCCGAGCGCAGCGGATGAGCCACCAAACTTAGCAGCCTCCAGAATAGTGTAGCCCGACCACGGCAAGGCGAAGTTCGGCGCACCAGCGCCAAGGCCGCAGGGCCACACCCGAATCCAACCTTGTCGGCGTTGGATTCGCCAATCAGTCGTGTACTGGTAGAGACATCTGAAAAATTAGAATGGGCGCTTGCATCGCGCAGGCTGCACTTCGGCTCCGTACGCCCAGTCCCACACGAAGCTTTCGAACTTTCGAGCCAGTGCTGCAGACGAGGCGAACTCCCACGGTAAAGAAGGGCCGTGCACCGGAGAAGTGCCTGCAGAGTTTGTTCCGTGCTCCCTGTGCTCGGCTTCATTCAACCAAGGAAGCCACACGGCTCAAGGGTCCGCTAAGAGGTAAGAGCACAGCGGCATAGCCCTAGTCAACAGAGAGGGATTCCGAGGAGCAGGCGGGGCACGGCCGAAGAAAGCCGCTAGTCACTGCTTTCGCTCCTCGGACCTCAAGCCAAGATGAACGAGCACGAGGTGATGACATGGCAAGCGTGGACGGTCCTGGCGATGATCCTGGTGACTTTGGTCTTGCTGTTCTTAGAGGTAGGCTCTCCGGAGCAGATCATGCTGGGGACCTTGGTCGTTTTGTGGAACATGGGCATTGTCTCGACGCCAGATGCCCTTGATGGTTTCTCAAACACCGGGCTTATTTCTATTGGTGCTCTTTTCATTGTGATGCAGGCAGTCGACAAGTCCAGGGTGGTGGACTACGCGGCACGTCGGATCTTGGGAGCGCAGATTTCAGACAGGGTGGTGTTGCTTCGCATTTGTTTCCTTGTCTTCGCGCTATCTGGATTCTGCAACAACACCCCATTGGTTGTCCTTTTCATGCCGATCGTCCGAGACTGGGCACGAACACATCAGCGAGCGCCTTCTACTTTTCTTATTCCACTCAGCTACTCGGCAATCATGGGTGGCATGTTGACAACTATCGGGACCAGTACAAATTTGCTGGTGAACGGCTTGCTGGAGAAGGAAGGCTACAAACCGTTTGGCTTCTTCGAACCAGCCATCGTTGGGCTGCCCATGGGCATCCTGAGCTTCACCTTAATTATCCTTCTTGGTCCTCTGGTTCTGCCAGACAACAAGGGTGGTCTCTTCCGAGAAGTTCGAGAGCATGGCGACAATTTGGTCACTGCCTTGGATATTGCAGAGGCCAAGACTCTCCCGCCAAGCTTCCACGCTAGCCCATACAAGCTCTTGAACAGAAGTTCCTTCCATGTTGACTGAAGCTCACAGCAGCAGGACTCGCCGTGGGTGGGCCGGCCAGCTGTGGACGTACTCATCTCTATGGGGCTGCCACCCAGTAGCTTGTTGAAGATCCGGCGTCGGATGCAACTTGGCTGCACCCGTGATTTCCCAATCATGCTTCTTGCTTCAGAAAGGATACGAAAGATGTGATCCACAGAGGGCAAGGCTTGTGGCTTGCATGTCTGTCAGAGTCAGGAGCTGTTCTGTTTAAAAACCCTCGATAATTCACCGGCGAGCTCAGGAGTACATCGAGGTTCACTTGGCCTAGGCGGTTTCTTTATGAATTACTGGGGTCTGTAGAGTCAGCTGTAACAGGGACTGCATGGTCTTCATAGGTGTGATGCAGATGTGATTGGACTGGGCAAGCCTATGTCCACCCGTTTTACAACTCAGGTCTGACTGCTTGTAGTGCTGACGTTTAAGATGTCGACACGTTTATGTAAGAGGACGAAGGGGAGCTCCAGTGATCTCGAGTGCTCTCTTCATTGCACGGTTTTTCCGGACATGTGCGTGGGACATCAGTTGTTTCGCCTCTGCAATGGATTTAGTCGTTGTCACATCGTCTTAGGAGTGGGACCCGGCACGAGCTAGGCAAAGGGTGTAAGCAAGTATCGTCAAGTCGCTTGGCTTTAAACGTTTCTGAGGCCGGCTGACAAGGCACCTTCCCCATTGCATTTGACCCTCGGCTCGGCGGAGCCTAAAGAGTGTCCTGGTATCAAGCTGGATGCTTTGTCCTGTCTCCAACGGTTACACTTCAGCTTGGCAACGAGTTGTGCGCGGTATCCGAGGTTGATTTTGCCTCCGAGCGAAGCATCCACCAGCGATGAACTCGAGCACAGCTTCCAAGTTCGTTTTCTCAACTTAGACATTGAGGCTACTTGTGAGGGAGATCCAGATATTATGGAAGTGCAGCCTGTTCGCAACACTGACCCTCGGTCCTGACAGCAAGAATGCCTGGCGCATGCTTGCGGAAATGACATCTGAGCGCGTAAAGGATAAAGAGAGACTTATGTACAAATCCGGACTGCCAACTTAGGAGACAGCACAAGGCGGTGACCTGCTACTATTGTCGTTGCCCCGAGACAGGGTGGTGGAGGTAATGTCGAAGCAAGAACGTGGGATACGAGTTCGCAGTATGCACGCAAGCCAAGCTGCAACTGGACAGTCTGAGTTCGTCGAATTAGTCCTCAGTGCCAGTTCTCCATTGCTGGGCCAGCCGATCTGCTCCATGGCCGAATCGAGCACTATGGGTGTCGTGTTGAAGGTGCTGCGTTTTTGTCGAACAAACACAGCTGACAGGCAATGCTGCTCAAATCGTCAGCGATGGCTACAACGCTGGCTTGATCGCCGTTCGATCGCGATACTGGGGGACAAGCTTCGCCACCAGCGACAAGCCAGATGAGATGGGAGACAGCCCTTTCCGCAGGAAGTCCTCTGCTACTTTCATGGCGGGTGATGTGATCCTTGTTTTGGGCGCTACAGGAAATTCGTACTCCAATTCACATTTCCTGCTAGTCACACGTCTTGGCTCGTTGCCCAAACCCATGTCTTGGTATGACGTGATTCCACTGGTGGTTTTTGTCCCGGCATTGGTGCTGACTTCACTGGACATGATCAGCATGGTGCAGCTTTCTGTCACACTGTCGTGCATGTTTATCCTCGGGGGCTGGATAAAGGCCAGCGACATCAGAACGATCGTCGATTGGCAGCTGCTGATCTTGATCGGATCGGCTTTGGGTGTCGCACAGGCGATGGCGAAATCCGGCCTCGCAGCCGGCATCTCGCGAGGAATCATTGCCACAGGGCTTCCCAACTGGCTGGCGCCCTCACTCCTCTACCTTATCGTCATGGTCACAACCGAGATGGTGACGAACAATGCCGCAGCAGCACTGGGAGTTCCCTTGGCCGTCGACCTGGCGGAGAAGATGGGCCTTGCGTCACCTCACCCCTTGGTCTTGTCCTTATGACTTATGTGTTGAGGGAGCCAGTTCGAAGTTTGCGGAGCAGAACAGTCTGTGAAGCTCTGGTCCTTTGATTCTTTGATGCCAGGTCATGGTGGTCATGATTGCTGCATCCACATCTTTTGCCAGCCCGATTGGCTACGCAACAAACCTCATCGCTGGCAGCTCAAAATCATGGCTTGTCATAAGATTCGCTGGAACACGATAGCCGGTTCAAGACGGTGCTTCAATGCTTGCCCGTTGCTCAGGTCATGGGTCCAGGAGGCTACTCTTTCCTGGATTTTTTGAGGTTGGGTGGTCTGCTGGACTTGTTCTGGCTTATCGGAGTGAGCTGTCTTCTGCCATGGCTCTGGCCGATGGCGTGATGGCAGTTTCGTTGAATATGCATTTCTAGCTCTAACTTTTTGATTTGCTGCGACGTGCCAAGCACGTGAAGAATCCGTTTGTTTTCCCACGTCGGACTGAAGGGAGGGACCCCCAGTCCCCAGGACCGGCCGAACAGAGATAACGAAAAACAGGCAGAGTATGCAGAATGTGGACGAGGGCTACTCGTAGTAATGATCCGAGTCGGCTGGATACTTGGCATCCTACACTGCGGCCTTTAGGGCCCAGTGGGAGCAATTAGCTCCTTCAATCCCCGGCCACACAGGCCAAGCATGCGGAAGTCTCAGCTAGAGACAGCGCAAGTCTCAGTTAGAGAGGAGTCAGATTTCTTCTCACGGTTCGCGAGGTGCATGAAATTGCATGCATCTGCTACAGCAGGCTTGGCAAGGAGTCTTGCTGGCGCGCGGCAAGGTTTTGCCATTCTTGCCCCGTTCCTTTCTCTTCTGCGAGTTGTTTGCCACCAGGTACCTCATCATTAAGTTCAGTCGTCAAAACTCTTCCAAATCAAATTGTATGCAAGCAAAATCCACTTTCAGTGAGCTTACGGCCTTTTAACCGTATGCTCATCGAAGAGAGGCCACATGAAGCCACTCCTTTGGAGATGCTTTCAACCGGTGCACGCCTGCCTAATCCCCTTCGCGAACCAGACCCCTCCGCGGCCGAATAGCAGAGCCAAAACGTGATCTCGTCGCTCAGTGAGCTTCTCGCTTGGTCGGCCGTTGTTGCCTTGCTGCGCCGTCCACAGTTGCCAGGCCTCCCCGCTACAATGTGCCAGTGCACACAAGGCCGTGGGAGTGCCCGCTAGAAATGGTGGTTGATTGTGATTGTGGTTGCAAAGCAAAGTGAGGAGTTTAGGGCGGACTTAGCGTCACACAAAAAGTGCCCAAAGGCCGAGTTTTGCAGCCGGTCCAGGTCGAGAGTCTTTTCACGCGAGCACACAACCAGAGCTCTCTTCCGTCCCACCGCTGCCACAACAGACCCATCTTAGCGCAAAGATCCCAAACTCTGCAAGCTTTTGTAACACTAGGGGTTCGAGGCGAAACAAACTGCTGTCTGCCCGCTCCAGCTCGGCGCAGGTTACAACAGGCAAGCTTCCCGCATGGATCCACAGAGGCTGACACTCGTAGACGGCATGTTCGATTCATGCCTGAAGCCATGCAATGCCTTGCATACCTGCAGGCATCGGTGCAGCATGCACTACTGAGCTTTGGTACTCGGGCCGAGCCCTTGCTTTCAAAGCTGGCGGCCCTGTCGCAATCTCTCAGGCCCGGCATGGACACTGGGACAGTTGTCAACCCTTGGTTTTGCATCTCTGCTTGTTTGTGTGAATCTCGAGGGTGTCCGGAGGGAATCAAACCAAGACTCCCATCCTCAAGAAAAGCCGCGAGAATCAACAGAGGTACAAAATTGTTGGAATGAGGCCGAAGATGAAGCTATGCATCAACTGCTGCGATAGCTCTACTGAGATTCCGCCATATTCATCCGGAGTCTTTCTGCTTGAGTTGCCAGCCACCCTCGAGTTCCTTATCGATACCAACACCTGTAGCTGTCGTGTTTGGGGGGCTTGCCAGGGCAGCCAAGCAGAAGGCCGTGGAGCAAAGCCACGAGAACATCCGCTTGAAACACCAGGCGGGATATAGAGGACTTTGAACCTGAGCTTCCTGAGACTGAGACTTTACACACCCGAAGGTGGAAAAGCATGCACCATCCCAAGCTTGTTTGTTGAGACTTGCTGGCTGGCACAACGAGATCCTGTTGCACTCAGTCACTCAGGCCGGTATGTGCCTGAAGTTGGCCTCATCCTCGGCAGCTTCTCCAGCTACCCTCCAGTGGTGGGCTTCGTCGCACAGGCTGACCTCAAAAAGCAGAATCTCTTCTTTGAAGAGAGGAGGCGGCAGCTCCAACAGCAGGACGAGGTGGGCCTTCGCAAGAGTTCCGAACAGCTTTTGTAGTCCTGCCATAGGTCTCAGAAACTGCTGTCACGATCCTCCTGAGACTAACAGGTGTTGATGAGCACAAACCGCTCCCAGCTGGAAAGGCACCCATGGTCGCTGTGCATGGGGGCTAATGCCCCGGACTGGTTGGCTGATGCGCTACAGGTTCCGCATGGCCTCAGAAGATCTGGCAGCTGCCAGGTTGGGGCACAGGGTGTAAGAGGGCTCGGCCGGTTCGCAGCCGGGACTTTCCGGCTTTGCTAGGCAGCGCCTTCACGACGGAACCCCCGCGACGCCTAGAACTAGGCTTGAAATGCAAGCATGGACCTCTTCTGATGCGGAGGAAAAAGTCGCTTGATCCTGCAAGCCGGTGATAGGTGTGGGAAATTTTGGGCTCGAGTTGAATACGACTTCCCGTGGCGAGTAGGCGGGTGACATGCCAATCCAGGAGCTCTGGAAGCACATCAACGCTTCTTTGCAAGTTTCGAGCAAGTCAGTTGCACTGATAGCCGGGACGATCTTATTGCGCAACATCGGGAGGAGCATGTTCGCCAAAATGGCTCGCCGAACACATTGCACAGCTCTCTATTTCAATTATGTTCTCCATTGACTGCACGAAGTTTGCGGCATACTTCTAAATCAGACCGGTCCTCTGATCTCCTTCTCCCAGCTCCTTGGCATCTAAGGTGATGAGATACTTGCTATATAGAAAATGTTAATACATGACACAAACGGTTAGTGTTATTTGTCAACGATATTGGAAACATAATTTGATTATAAGATGCAGTTTTCTTTAAAAATATGATAGACGGAAATTCATTTTTTTCAAGACATCTCAATTGTTTGTGAGAAAGATGACAGCAGCAAAAAGATGAAAAGGATGTGCTATGCGGGAGCCAAAAAGTCCGAATAAGGATGAAATTATAAAAGATAAATCGCAATAATTCAAAGATATATTGAAGGATAATTTTTGTTACTTGCAAAATTTAGATCTGCTTATTTCAATCAAAACGGTGTCTTGCTACTTGCATCCGTGATTCTGTACGCGCCCCTGGTCCCTTGTAACTTGGTCCCCTGACGCGTTCCTTCTTGAAAGCCTCTTGTATGCTTGTCTCGCGGTACTAAAATTCTGGAAATGTTACTACCGCGACACCTTAGCTCCCGGTACTAAAATCCTAGAGATTTCGGTAGCTTTAGGAAATCTCGAAGGTATTGAGCTTTGCCAAATTTTGGTAGCTTTAGGGGGTTTTATGCTCGGGGTCTTTGAATTTGCAGGAATTCTGGTGGGCAAGGGCTGTTTTGGCTTCAAGGTCGGAAAAACATGGAATGCCAGTGTGACGTTGGATTCGAGGCACATACTCTTTTCTGTTAGGTAGCTGTAAGGGGACATTCTCGTGGTAATAAAATGCAGATTTCTGGCAGCGGCTCCACTACCGTGCTTTCTGAATGTAAGCGTTTCCGTGTGTCGCTCTATGTGTCTGCGTGTGTGTGTGTATGTGTCTCTATATGTATGTGTGTGTGTGTGTGCGCGTGTGCCTCTGTGTGTGTTTGTAGGTAGGAGTGTGTATATATTTTGAATGGATTTGTTTGGCCACCCGTCTGTCTGTTTATTTATATCTATTTATTTATCTATCTGCTTGTTATTTTAGTTGCTTGTTTAATTATCTCTGAATTTATTTGAATCTTATTAATCCCTTTCCCTTTTTATTAAATGCCCCCTAATAATAAAAATA